TTTTTTGCCCGACCCCCTTCAAATCGCCCAATATTTTGCATGTTGGGGGTTCTACCTGAGATAACCCCACAGTGAAATTTTTGGCTCCGCGCCAGCATTTTCTGATGAGTTAGAGCAATTTGAAATTTTCATGAGATTTGGCTAAAAAACTCACCTCCTGACAACTGCTGATGTCTCTCTTGAAACTCAACGTATTGGATAAATGCTGGTACCGTTGGATAGAGAAGAAGATTCTCTTTCCAACTCTATGATGTCCGGACTAGTGAGAATTATATAGGTCAAGTCACGTGACCTTGACCTTTGACCCAAAATATCACAAAAGTATATACCTCGATTTTTGAAAAATTCACACCTCAGTTAGGACACTTAGCCCACATGATGCCACTAAAGTTTCATTGTGGGAAAATGAAATATATTAGCTCTAGACTACATTTTGTGCCTAGAGGTGTTCATGTAACATTGAAATAATTGTTAGCTAACCAGTTGTGTGTATTTCTTTGTGAATATGAGTACCGCGGCGTACTAATTTTCACAAAGCATTTGCATCCCCTCTTGGAAAGAGGGATTCGAAATAATTAATTAATTAATCACCGTAATTTAGCTTACACTTATGAATTTAGGGAGCACTTAAAATGTGAAATAATCATTTCACTACCCGACCAACTCCGAACTTTATTCATTCATTAGGCCTACATAATAGTTTCAAATTACTGTACTATATACTCCAACATCACTGGCGTATGGTAACAACCAACTAACTGCAGACCATTTCCGGTCACACATTACTCTCCATAACACAGCACCCCCTAGTTCCGTCACCTCTGGGTATTGATAGTTTTACTTAGTTTCCAGGAAATCTGCTGATAGATTGTTTGAAACTGGCACCATAGTATAGCATGCTGCATTTCTGGCCATTAACAGAACTGGTCCATGGCACCCGGCTTTTGGAAAAAAACCCGGGTTATACATTCTGCTGGTTTGTTGAATAAGGGTTCTTCAATTATTTATTGCCACTGAAGCCCATGAGATGAAGTGAGTGATTGTTGTTTACATTCCAATGGCTATATGTTGCTGTCAGGACTCTCTTGTTAACTCCCAATGGACATTCTTAAAACCAATTAAAGTTAAGTTTATGGAGCTGCTAACAGCTCCCTCTGGACCATTTGACACCTCACTCTCAACTATCAGACAGCTCACTATGGACCATTTCTGCTAACGGGGACTTTTGCCTCATGGTGAAAATCAGGGCCCCCGTGACCATTTTTCTGGGACCAAGGTTTCACTGCTGATTTAGCATCACTAGGGTATAAATAAGAAATTGAGCGAGAGAGAACCTCCTGAAAAAGGGCGGAACATATTTTTTTTGGCGGCCATTTTCAAAATGGCTGCAAAAATTATGATATTGACTCGTAACTTCACTTATATCCAATGAAAAAGGGCAAATCTGGTGTCTAACTATGTGTTATAGGGTCACTGAAGCCAACGAGACAGGTTTCGAAAACGTAAAATGGCAGCCATATTGAAACTCAAGATGGCCGCCTTAAAAATGGTCAAAAAAGTAATATTTTAGTATAATTCCACATATCCTCTAAGGAAAATGGTAAATTTGGATCTAATCATATGATTTTGGGCTCTCTGAATGCATTAAACATAGTTTCAAAAAGCTAGGATGGTAATCATTTTGAAATTCAAGATGGCCGCCATAAATATCCTAAAAAATTGAATATTTTAGTATGTAATGTGGGGTTATCTCGGGTAGAACCCCCAACATGCAAAATATATGGCGATTTGAAGGGGGTCGGGCTAAAAAGTGTGTTGGATTCATATGGAATGACTCTTTATTGTTATATGCTTTGCTTTTCAATTGATTTTACTTTAACAATTATTGTTTAATTTAATCATTGGATGTACATATCTATATTAAAAAATCCTAAGACCGGACTAACAGGCCTAAGAGCCAGAGTGTTTTTCACACTATAGTTAATCCTAGCCAACTTACGTTATATATTGTCTTAGTTTTTGTTAAATTTCTTTTAATTCTATTGTATGTTATTTCATTGACTAAAAAAAGAATGAATGCAAAAATGGATGAAGGGATTCAACGATTGAAAACAAATGTTGGTGGTTATATGAAATCAATGGCAAAAACTGTTCCCATCAATTGGGTGGACTTTCAAACTAAGGTACAAGAAGCTGGGAAGACAACAATGCACATGTCTTTGTATAAGGTATCATACGATTATTTCAATTATTGCTTAGGATTAGGCAACTTTTGATGACATATTTACGGTTTATGTTAACATTTAATTGTTTTAGTGACAGTATTTGTAAATATAATAAATGTGAATTTGGTAATTAATTTTATGATTAAACTATTTTGAGAGTGGTAATATTTTGAGACAGCCTAAAAAAAATGTTATTTTTTTTATTTATTTTTTTTTTATGTTCTTATTTGTAGATCACTAAGATTGCTGTAGATTGTGGTATTAATGAAAATAACGTCATCCATGTCCTTAACTACCTTAATGATGTCGGAATCATTCTGTATTCGCCCACTAACAAGAAGTTGGAGAACACAGTGATTACTAACATCCATATGCTGATTGGTATCTTCATGAAAATCATTACAGTTGTGAAACCTGATGATGTTGATAAGGTATAGTGTTATTGTTTCAATAAAGACATACAAAAGTATGATATCAATTTCTGTATTCGGATTTACAATTCAAAAGCACTTTATATGAGATATTGACCTGAAACTTGAGAATCTTTCATTTGGTATCATAAGGTGTATTTGTGCAAAGTCAGAGCAAATTCTGAGAGGTATCATGTACAAGGTACCTCAATCTTTGCTGTTTTGACATGGAATGACCCAATTGTAATATGTCATGCCTTTACATTTAAAAAAACAGTGATTCAATTTACAGTTAAAAGGAAACTTTCCTTTATATTTTTTTAAATTAATGAACTTTTAATAAAATTGGATTTAACACAATTTGCGTTACTGGTAGCGTTTCAGACTAGTCACGACATCGGCCGATTTGCACTAAAACTCAAGTTGCATGATCCCATTGTAAGTTCTAATCCATCGATCGTGAAAATACACAACACAGCGATAGTAACAGTGGCGTATCCAAGGGGGGGGGGGCGTGGGGTGCACGACCCCCACAAAAAGCTTGCACCCCCCCCCCACATATTAGAAAACTTCGAAGCAAAAAAAATTAGGCTAGGCTTATGCTTATGCTGTCACGGTTAACGTGTATTCGGGAATCTAAGAAGCAATATTTTTCAGTGGGCGTGGCCACCAAAAATAAATTCCACGTCCCCTCATATTTTGGTCGCCCCCCCCCCCGTATTAAATAAAATCTAATATTAAATAGATCTTACTATATACTACAGTACAAGATCCTTTCAATAAACAAAATCTATTTTTTTAAGTCATTGAAGAATTTCATCTGGTTCTGTAAAATATAGCTGGATTATTTTTTCATTTTTATTAGAACCAACTGAGATAATAATAATGATAAATATTACCTCAGTGACGTTTCTGGTCCAATCAGGTACCTTTCCTCAGACTGATTACATGTTGGGATTGGTCTTATCCCGGCGTTGATGTTTAGTTACGCCCTCTAACGTCCGGTGTTTGACGGTAGCACGTTCCTCTCGGCCCCCTGCTTTTGCTTTCTTGATTAAGTTGTCATAAATGTGACAGTTCACGCTACTATAGGAACACCTTAACAAGAATATTACTTTAAGATGTTCCACTTGTATATAATCAACTTTTTATTTTTTTTTTTGGTAATTCCTTATTTCAAACAACTAACTTGTAGGCTAAAATAGCCAAAAACTATAGGTTTATATCACTACAGTAGGGCATTTAGGTCACGACTGTAAGGCGGTAAAAAATACTATGGGTTTTAAGACAGGCACATCCCCTATTGTATTAAAAAAACAAATATAGGCCTATATTATTTGTAAGGCCTGTTGTATAGGCCTATAGACAGCAAAAAAAAAAAAAAAAAATCCCGCCCGACCCCGATTCTCAAAAAACATCTTATGCTGGGGCAATATATAGCTTTTAATTTTCAACATTTATGGGTGTATATTTAGCGCGAATAGGCCTGCAATCGTTGGTGGTAGTGTTTAGAGCCAATTTTTGCAAATTTGGCATAATTTAAATTTTATCGCTAGCAACGCTGAAACTGAGTCACGTCTTGCATCGACTAGACATGGCTAAAAAATAATAAAACGGACCTACAATTCTGTACATAGAATAGACCTAAGGCAAGTGGGCAATGGTAAAGATGAATTAAGCTTAGTACAGTCTACAGTAGATGGCCCATATTACAACGTACAGCACAACATTAATGGTGACCTATACTAACTACTAGGCCTCTAACTAGTACTAGTAGCGTAGACGACTGGTGAGCCTGCTCAAGTTCTTACCAGGGCAGGGTTCTTACTAACTAATGCAGTACTTCAGTACTCTAGGCCTAAATCTGTGTGGCTTAGCAGTGAACAGGGTTATCTGTAATTTTTTTTACTAACTGCGGTCATCAGTCCATACGTTCAGCAGGCCAAGAACAAATTTATTAATTAAATTAATTCAATTAGGTACGCAAAAAGCATCTGCCTAGCTTATTCGTCGGAGACACCACACTCCAATTTGTAAGTTACCAAGATAAATTAATATGCATCAAGCAAACCAATCATGTGACTTACAAAGTCAGTTATGCATACAATATCACACATCCAATTTGATGTGTTAAAATCGTACGCATGAATGATCAGACAGTGTTTGTCCAGGCCCTAATCCATAAAAAAGAAATCGAGTATGGGACCCCAAATAAATTAGGTATGGCGAGCAATAAGTGCAATAAAGAGTGAATACTAACCCAAAATTTAGGATCTATTTAGGATAGGTGTGTTACAAAACAAATGTTTTGTATTCGTGCAATGGAAAGAATATTTTCATTCGTTGAAAGATTGACTGTTCATTTAATAATAATAATAATAATAATAGTTGGATTTGTAGAGCACATCATGCGAAAAAGCCTCTATGCGCTTGGTGATTGAGCTCTTTGAGTTGGACATTTTGAGAAAAAAGAAAGTTATTTTTATGAAACTAAAAAAACCTACTCCTTAAACTAAGGCATGGTTGGCCGTTGGCTCCGAGGAGTTCATCCGCCCTTTGTTCAGCTGTTTTTTTTCGTGCTGCTGGGTGTCCATCCACCCTCCCATTGGCGGCCGCTAAAGACCACCAGATGTGGTTGCCGGAATTAGTCGCCGACGACTCGACCGGATGTAGTTTATAACGTCGTGCCCAGGACACTATAATCCTAATCTACACTTACATACACTAAAATAAACCAACTTAAATAATTGGTTGAACTATTCCCATAATTAATAAATGAAGGTTTCGGGTCAGAGGTCGGGAATTTCAGGAATTTCTTGAGCTTTGACTTGAATTTATTTAAACTTGTAGCTTCTCTTAAGTCAGATGGTAACTGGTTCCAGAGGATAGGTGCAGCTCCGCCTCATTGAATGGGACAGTGAATGAAAATATTCTTCCCATTGCACTCATACACATTCATTATTTGTATACTATTGCCTGCTTCTTAACCAATCAGATGCCTAGAATCTACGTATGTGGTATATAATAATAAATATATAAGTTTTATTGCAATATTCTACTACCTCCCTAGGCCCATTTCTAAATATGTGATTAAAGTGGAGTTTTCACGATTGCGACCACATCGACTACAACATTAACTTTCGATAAGATTATTTTATTTTGTTCTGTCTTCATGTAGGTTCCAGTGATAGTAAAGTATTGGCGTAAATTAGATAAAGAAGGGATTCTTGCTGAAAAGCTAGTTCGTTATTTATGGAAAGATGAACTTACTGGCAGTCACGATGATAATGACGTCTTTGAAGACTGCATTGAACTCATGAAGTCATTCGGGCTTCTCTTTGAAAAGGTAGGTTATTGCTAGGATTATTGCAAGTACAGACAACCAGTTATGTTTACTTACTAGATATGTGATAAACTTTCATAGGCTCAAGCCTTTATAGGCTTATCAGGTTGTTAATTTTCGTTTATATGGATATCCTAGTCAATCATGACGTCATCACTGCCAACTCCCAGTGCTCCAACATTTCACTATTTTTTCACATAGTACCCTAATAAACTAAAGAAATTTTAGGTGTGAGTGCAAAAGACCAATTCAACTTGTACATGTCCACGCGTGTCTGCGTGGAAATAGAAGGTAGACACTCGCCCAATCGTCGTTTGTTAACAAGTGGTAATTGAAAAATTACTTTCGTAAAAAAGGTTAATTAGAACTTCAAATTCAATATTAAGTATGAAAAATTAAGGAATTCCTTGAATCAGTGGACCCTAATAAACTAAATTAATTGAACATTTAATAGAAATATTCTAGACCTAGTTTAAAGACTCAAGGAACAAAATTAGATGTAGGCCTAGGCAGGAGGCCTAGATCGTAGCCAGGCTTATCGCCTAGATAATATGAAATCATCAAACGATTTTACCTGTCTGCACCGACCGAAAGTGACTATTTTTGTATTCTCTCAAATGCTTTAAGAAAAGCATTACAAGTTCTTCAAACACAATAAATAGTTATTCATCGTATCCATACTTTTTGGTACTACCAAATAACTTAAATGGCTCTATCTTTTGCTATTTATTATCTTTTTTATCATGTTCTGCAACAGCATATCAGCATACGCACAAATATAAATACGCACACAGTATACTTATATCACTATAGTAACCAATGACTGCTACACAGTTTATTATCAAACTAACATTATGCTTTAAGAAATGTTTATTTCTTTGACGAATGTCTGTCAAAATAGCATTACAAGTTCTTCAAATACAATAAATAGTTATTCATCGTATATGAAGAAGACGGTGATTAACTTATAAAGTAATCAATAGAGCTGCATGCATCGTACACTAGCAGAAAATTATTATACTTAGGTTAGATTTAATTACAGTAGAATAGTGTACTATGTGCCTTTCTACTAATTGCTTAGTTAAATTTTGGCTTTTTTTTATATATGTACATCTTCCACTTCCCATTGATATAAAGCTGTGTATTAATTGGTTTTTTTTTTTCATTTTTTATAAATGAAGAATGAATCAGGAGAGGATGGTAGACTATTTGTCGTCCCTTCTCGGATGAAGACCAAGCCTAATAATAGGTTGGAGATTAGGAAAGACGAGGAGCAGACAGTATCTATCTATGTGACACCTAAAGACTTTCTCCCCGACGCTGTCTACGATGTCTTGGTCGTTAGATTTGTAAGCCTGAGTCAGGATAGAGGTTACCGTGATGAGCCTAAATTGTTTCAGAATAAGGCTGAAATTATATTCGATCGTAAGCATTATGTCAGACTAGGTCGGATTTACATTGATAACAAACAGTGTTTGAAGGTAAATATGTCTTTTGTTTTTAAAATTTGCACTTTTACAAAAACATCAAGATTTTTGGCCTGTTTGGCTTTGGCAACAAGAAATTTATTTTTCGTCTAAAAACATATTAAAAAAAATATTATTCAATATTGTTAATGTTAAACATGTCTAATATTAAATCATATTTGTTAGGCCTTTGCCTTTTTTTTAATTAAATCTTAATATGAAATTAAATTGAATTATCTTTAAACAAAATATAGATATATGAACTAAAATGAGCAAAGTAAAATAATTGCACAGAAGATGGTGGCAAATTGGATGACAACAAATCATTTGTGAGTCCATCTAAGTGACATATGTTCATAGAATTTACAAAATAATGTAAATTAAACAATTTCAATTAATTTTTCTATGTAATCTGCAGCTTGAAATATCACGGATGAAAGAGAGGGACGCACACTGTGTAGACAAGCCAACGTGCAAGCCGCATCCCAGCGTATGTACAGAGGTAATGACGTCATTGGTCATCTTGATATTGTAGATTTAATACTTGTGCCCCCACCCCTTTCCCCGTCACCGATCAACGCTATGTGGATTTATACCAAACGGCTAACCATTGTATTGTGAAATATAAAATGTGCAAATTTAATCTATTTCTTTTTTGCAGGTTTTAAGCGTTTTAAAGCAACATCTAGATGAGTTATATCCGTCTAAGAAAGTTGTCGGCTATGAACTGAACATACTTTGCTTTGTCTGTATGAATCCTGAGACACCACACTTTCAAGATCTTGAGGAATGCTTAAAGAATGACTGTATAAATTGTGATAAAACAGGAGAGCATATAGTAATGCCAACTGTTGAAGTACAGAATCTATTTGTGGCCGGTATGCGATTGGATTGGATTTATTTCGAAATTCTTATATTAAACAATTCAATTCTTTTATTCATCAAAAAACATAATTGATTAAAATAAACATCGAAAATGACAAAGGAGCAACACAAACAAGAGACAGTAAAAATAGAAAAGAGAAACGACAAACATTATATATCTCGTCTCTTTAAAGTGTGGTTAACAAACTTAATAGCAGGAAGAAGAATATCAAAATCATGGGAACCAACTGAAAAGACAAATTTATCAAAACCATTTAATTAAATTATCATTTTTATCAAGGAAATCTGAATTCAGATTGAGGAATGATAATAAAGTTGAAATTCATGATGACCAAACTTATTTTCATTTTACAGATTTGCCTGTCGATAACGAAAGAAATATATCAGACTCAGACGATTTTGGAGTGAAAAAGCTCAAGATCTGTCATAAAACAGACGAAGACATTGGACGTGCAGAAGGTATGCTATTGTCTTTTGAAATGATTCATAATTTAATATATTAGATTTATTTCGGTTAATTTTGAAAATAGTAATTCAAAAAAAATGTTCAACAGAGAATTTTTACTCATTCCAATATATATATA